TTGCTTTGAATGTTATATGGCTTTGAACATGAGATGGGTACAACACTTGCCAAGACTTTTACTTTTGACTGTAGTTGAAGGTTTTTGAAACGCCAAATGTAATTTAGGTTATTTTCTTTCTAGGGAAGTCTCATATCTAAAGTGATGTGAAGTGAAGGGTTTTCGTCATCTGTTTGAAGCCTACCTAAAAGTATCACAGAGAACATCTGCTCATCAGTTCCATACTTGCTTGTGGCAACACAGTTGTAGTTTCCTTCCTCATGGAGCTCAATTGTTGCTATGCTCGTTGTGTTTACCAATACTATTGAGTTTTTCAGTATCGCTGTATGTATAGGAACACTCCCCGTCACTGAACATGTCACTTTGTCGCCTGCAAAGGCTCGCACAACTGCTGGCATCAATATTTTTGGTGGAGCTGGAATGGAATAAATTCATGACACTATGCCACCAACTCAGTAATGGTAGATCATAACATTGCCTTGAAGTTAAAAGAAGCAGTGCTGAAGAACATAGAGCGAATGCACTTGTTAACATTAACAGATACATGAATGGCCTGCTTTTCCCTCAAAAAAAGGCAGATAGAAAACGATTTATGTATTTGTAATATGTAAATTAGGCTCAGTATCCTCCATGGGGCCTCTGCAAAAGATGTGTTACCTGGAATAGTTATGGTAGTTTTAGGATCTGGAGGCGCTGTGACACCTGTAGGATCTGAAGGAAAAGAAGTATTTATAGATAGTACAGTATTTGGATTCCTTTCAAAGAAAAAAGGAAAAAAAAAAGAAGAAAACGTGAATAATCCTTCTTTTTACGTTTGATATTGTTTTCGGAGTCAGTATTCACCTAAGAGCTATTAATTGCTGGCCTTATATTTACCCCATGGATATTTTGTGGGTGAATTTGTTTGATGTGACGTATAATCTTCCTCTTATCGGTGCGTTTGATGTTACGAACACTCAGGTTATATTATCTTTATGCATTTTTTCGGCGTCACCTTAGGGACAAATTCTTAGGGACAAATTCTCTCGAAAACATTTTGGGGTAGTTTCGTTTTGAAAAAGCTCTTTAATTTTCACCGCATACAGCTAGATAATGGGTGCAGGTTAACACACGGAACGAATTTTTAGGAACATGAGAAAAAAATGAAACTAGACGACGCTAAAAGTCCGAGATGATCGTGTGTTCGAAAGTTCATTTTGTTACTTTGAATATTTTGGGGGAACATTTGCTTTTATCTCAACTTATAGAAAACGACTCAAAGGGAGATTTTTAGAAATGTGATTTTAGAGGGTCGCAACTTTGTTCGCTACTTGTAGCTAATCCTCTTGCGTCATACTCTGTGGTTCCGCAGGGATAGTTTGATGCTCACGTGAAAATGGAGGAAGTTTTCGCCTTTGTGGGTTGTCAAAATTTCAAATATGGAGAATCTTCTTTCGCGTTGGACCTCCCCTGATATTCTATAGCCTTATCAATTTTTCTCTTGGTAACGAAAATTGCCATCGATATCGAAAAAGTGACGCAGAAAAACAGGCACACCTGTAATTGAAGAACCAGCGTAATTATTCCAGGTTAACACGCAAATGAAAAGAAGCGAGTAGGGAATAAGAGGAAGCATGTTCTTATCTGTTGACAAAAAAAGAAATTCAAGTAAGATAAACGCTTAAATCAGCCAACTTTTCTTAAGTGTACCCGTCGTACAGACGGCTAAAAGGAAAAAAAGAGAAAAAGAAGAAATGCAGTAAGAAGGACAAGAAAAGAAAAATAAATTAACGAATAGATAGAGGAGCGAAAGGATTCATGAATATATCGGATGTATAAATAAATAGATGGTGTATAGAAAAAAAGGGTGGATCAATGGATGAATGGATAGAAGGATGGATTGATTAAAGTGAATTTACCGGAAGTGGATCATTGAATAGATGGATAGAAAGAAATCGACAGATGGGAAACTTTATATAACAATCGTAACTGTGACTAAAAGTTGAAATACGTTGCAATTTTGCTCTTTCCAAATGCTGTGAATTAAAAAATTACGTCATAGCTTCTAAAGCAAATACAGGAATACAACGTTATAATAAATGTTTTTAAAAAGTGGATAGAGAGAGATTGAGGGACTCTCATTTTTGCAAAAAGTCTCCATGGATTTTTCATTTTTCAATTCGTTTGGTAATGCCACGAGTAAGCAAAGATAATATTGTGTTTTTACACATGGTAAAGCTACATGTATATTCCCGAGCGAAGTGTAACTCCCAACGCATTCTCACCTTCGTCCAGTCTTGATAATGGTCTATCTCATCAAAAACTTCACTTTTAATGTGGAGCTTAAACTTCTAAAGCTTAACAAAGCTAAACAATCGATATCCTGTCATGTAGATAAACGCAGAATGCTTGGACGAATTGCCCTCCATTTTTACACGTCAGTTATTCTTAAGAAACCTCACCTTAATAACATTTTTTTTCTGTGGGCTTGATCTGGCAAAAATGTTTAAGTCCGCAGCTTTATGATGTTGTTATTTACTTCCTTAAACCTTAAGATAATTTTAAATTTTTATGTACAACCACACTTCTACAAAACTTTTGAGAGGTGGCTTTTAAAATTGCCTCGTCGCAGCAGGACAATTTACGGGCAAGGCATGTGGTAGCGTCACGGCGTAAGTTATGTCTCAGCAAAAAAGCAATTCAAATCTAGTATGATCCACCAGATTTGAGACAGCGTTAAGAGTTTGATCATAATAAAAACAAATTAAGTTAGATTCATAAGTGAAAGAAGAGAATTCCCCTTTTGTCTCGGCAAAAAAGTGATTCAAATCTAGTATAATCTACCAGACTTCAGACAGAGTTAAGAGTTTGATGATTATAAAAACAAATTAAAACTTAAACCTTTAGGTAATTTTATATTTTTATGTACAACCACACTTCTGCACAACGTTTGAGAGGCGGCTTTTAAAATTGCCTCATCGCAGCAGGACATTTTACGGGCAAGGCATGTGGTAGCGTCACGGCGTAAGTTATGTCTTAGCAAAAAAGCAATTCAAATCTAGTATGATTCACCAGATTTGAGACAGCGTTAAGAGTTTGATCATAATAAAAAAAAATTTAGTTAGATTCATAAGTGAAAGAAGAGATTTCCCTTTCCGCAAAACTCTCTCAACGTGCATATCAGGATAATTTTTTCTTACTCATAATAGAGTTGGGACAAGAAAAACATGTTTCATACCATGGGCACGTTGCTGATAGCGCCAAGGGCGCATAACATTAAGCTTAGTTCTGATCTGGAAGATGACATCCTTTTAATTTTTATATCTTTGTTCAAACAAATCTGCAAAAGGTACCTTGAAATCATTTTCAGCCGCTCTTTCATAGTCCTAAAACAACAGATACCTTGGAACTGATCATAAGTCTGCCCTTTCTCGCCGTTCCTCTCAAACTTACCATCGGCTTTCTTTGATCATCGTTAAACATTATTTATATCAATACCAAATTAGGGGGCAACCCACTTTTTGTTTTAAAAACATGTTTCATTCATAGAATCACGTTCTAAGTTAAGAAACAAGAACTCTCTATAGATTGCAAAAAATACCACATCAATAAGGCCTAAAATAGGCAAATACAGAAATCTGTGTTTACAAAAACAGTAGATTCAGTATGAAACGTCTTACGCACCTCACCAATAGAAAGATAGAATGATGTTTGGTTATATTTGTAAATTAAAAGCTGATGTATTTCTTTTTGGAAGATGATCTTTTACGAGATCTGCAGAGGGAAGAAAATTCTTGAATAAAGAAGCTTTTTCGTTATTGACACTATCTGTCAAGCCGGAAGGCTTTCTACGACTAACATGAAATGGCAATTGATCTAGTCCATACCAAATCTAACTCGAGTAGCTGGAGTCAAATAATAACTTTCCTTTCGTAGAGAGCCTTTAAGTCAAATGAATTTCTGTTCGACTTATTTAAGAAGTTGTTTCTTACATTTAGTTACGCGGTGAAAAACAAATTGATATGAACTCTAGATAGATAGTATGAACTCTATCTTCCTAAATTCACAGATGTAAATAATTAATTTCCCCTTTTACTATTTGCCTCACATTGTGTCGGCATGAAGAATCATTTTTTTATCAGCAACCCGGCCACAAGCGCAATTACCCACATTTAGGTCAGAAATCTTACCTTGTATGTGTTTTTCTGTGTGAAAATCTCGTTTTCAACTACGAAAATCCTGGGCAGGTTGTTTCACGTTCATGAATGCCCCTCAATATATTGAATTTTAAACGTTGATTCATTGGGACACATTCGGTAAAACGCAGCTTTTCTATGTTGGAAATGGCAGTTTTCCGACGTTTTGGCGCATGGTTATCCTATGGGGTCATATCAATGACTCTCTCACCGTTATGTTTGAAATATATGTCTTTAAGGAAGACTCGTGTCTACCTCATCTCCCTGTCGCTACTAAATGACAAAAGTAAATAATATACGTGGAATTTGTATGCTTCCTTTTCCCAAAGCAACTAAGTTAATTCCCAAATGAGCGTAAAAGGCCGCAGTCATAAGGTACACTGCTAGGGGTTAAGATAAATACTCAGAACTTTAATCGCTTGAATACATTCATATCTTCGGATGCTTACGGAAATACTTTACAACTAACTCCACTAATAGACGTGGATTTCTTGTGGATGAAACTACTAGGCGTTTAACTTTTTGGAGAGCTTCTTTGAAAAGTGTAAAAATAACAAAAGCTAAAGCTGTATGAAATTTTCTTGGGTCAATTTGAAACGTAGAGTAATTTACTATGGATCCCTTAGCTAGACAAATTTTTCAGGACCAAGTAATATTTTCATCTGTTTTCTTTAAGTTCTTAAAGTTTCTCAACGAGGTAAGACAATTTGCATGCTTACTATATGGCAGTGTCATGGCGCCATGCGATCGATTTAAATGCAGCATTTTTATATTGGACTTGATTTCATACGGTGTCCGGTGTTTATCGTTGAACGCTTTTTTTTC